CACAAAGAAAAACAAAAAGGGAGCCAGGGATCAGAATTTTGAAAAAGTCAAATTTTTCACTTCGCGCCAATATTTTTTTCATGGCCGAAATGATTTTTGTTCACTCTTGCGTAGCATTCCGTTCGCGTTCGGCCGGCAAACGCGAACGCATATGACCGAACGCGAACGTTTTTTTTTTTTAGGGGTTTGGGGGCATAGGGGGTTCTGTTGGGTGCGAGACGCCACCCCTCCCTGACTCCCTCTTCACCCGCTTTGATGCAGGGGGTGCAGCACCCCATGCAGCAAAGCGATGTGTGAGGATTGAGCCCTCAAGTAGGGGCCTTGCCATGATGTACATGTTCTGGGCTAAGGCCCCAGCAAGCCTCGTGCCCGCCCTAAGTGAAGGCGGGCCAGCAAATCAACAAGAGCCCTCTGTGCCAACATTTCACGAAGTGGGGTYCATACAGTTGCAGCACGCGGATTTCAGCAAATGCTTAAATGCCCAGGGCCTCTGAGTTAGTTAGGTCCTGGGCTGTGAATGTGAGGCCGACAATGCATAGTGGGCATAGAGGCCGAAAATGCCAAAGGGAAATCGGCCCACTGTCTGAATCTGGCCGCAGGCCCTGATGAAAGAGGTGCAACTGCATTGCTCCGGGGCCCAACTGTATCGGGCTGAGTTCAGCCTCTGGGTCCCGGTCACAGGCTGAAGGGAGGCCGCCCACACGATGCACTGGCATATAGGCAAGCAGGGCGAGTGGGCAGGGATCTTGGCCAATGCTGGCATTGCGGGCACGCTGCGCGGATGCATGTGTGCTGCGCAGTGCAGAGCAGCGCTGCGCTAAGAGCAAGCAGGCCAGCGCTAGGCGGTAGGGGCGCTGCCTGCAGGCAGGGCACTGGCGGCCATAGCCGGGCCGCATGAGGGTGCAGAAGAGGTGAAGGGCGAAAGTGGTCTTCGGAGGTGAAGGGCGCTGTGTGGGTAACAAGGGAGAGTGTGGGGAACAGGACACGTACATGGTGAAGGTGGAGGTCGGCATTGGTGTTGACATCATCACTTGCTGGTAGTCAAGTTGTCTGGTTGCTGTTCATTGCTGTAGTTGTAGGATAGGCTGTAGAGTAGATAGGGCGCCTGGCGCCATTCACAAGAGAGAGCTACATTTGGGTTATGCTGTTGGTGTTGCCCTGTTGGGCATGGACATTGACTCACGATTCTTCTGTATCATTCTCAATTGGATGGTTACTCAGTTCCATTTGCTATCTGCTTTGGCTTTGACTACTTGGACTTCAGTGTGATTTTGCATTCTGGATTTATGTGCTTCATCCATACTCATGTTCCTTGCAGATGCCGCTACTCCGGGTGTTGTACCTGCTGCGGCGCTGCGAACACCAGCAGCAGCCTGCAGTTACATATCCTGCAGCTACTGCTGCTCCGCACACACACACACACGTACACACACACACACACACACACACACACACACACTCACACACACACACACGCACACACACACACACACACACACACACTCACACACACACAAACTTCAAGCTGCTGGAGCGCTTGGTGAAGCAGCGCTGGAGCCAACGGAGCTGCTGGGAAGGACCGGCCGGCGCTACTCCTCGGCTATGGTGGAGTAGGTAGGACAGGAGGAGGAAGAAGGGCGAAGGGGAAGGGGGAGCGACAAAGATACTTACCTGCCTATGGTCGTTGCATCTTGTCATGTAGATGATGCACTACCTGAAGCAGCTTMAGTGGCACAAGCCGCAGAAGCAGCAGCYSCMASAGGTGCATGCGCTGCTGCATGTGCTGCAACACATGCAGMTGTCGAAGCTGCTGCTGCTGCGGCTAGTACTGCTGAAGCTGCTGTAGCTGATGCATCGCATGCTTCATCTGCAACACACACACACACACACACACACACACACACACACACACACACACACACACACACACAC